GTACTTCTCTTTTAAAGTATATTTTTATTGATTTCAGAGAGGAAGGGAGAGGGAGAGAGAGAGAGAGAGAGAGAGTGCAAGAAAATCATTGATTGCTGCCTCCTGCACGCCCCTGCTACCTCCTGCACGCCCCCTACTGGGGATCAAGCCTGCAACCCCAGCATGTGCCCTGACAGGGAATCAAACTGTGACCTCCTGGTTCATAGGTCCACGCCAACCACTGAGCCATGCTGGCCTGGCAGAACCCTGTACTTCTCCATCGCTGTACTTAGACTTTATTATAAATGTGTATTTGGTCAACCGTCCTCCACTCCCTGCCAGGTATCTATCCCACAGAGTGGGAGACTGCTGGAGCATTACCAGGCCCTAGAACAGTGCCTTGCACAGAATAGGCCTCCAATAAGTGAATCCCTGATGAAGAAATTTATTAGCAAAGAAAGATGTCTTTGATGTTCTGTTAGCTGTAAAAAGTGGTTTACAGGCCAGAGTGAGTGAGTCCATTTATACAATGCATAAATGCACTTTAACATTTTTCTACAGTATCATCTGCATAATTACAAGTTACCAGAGTAAACACAAGGAGAAATGACTAACTATAAAATCATTACCAATGACATCTATTAATTGCACCAGTCCAAAAACAAGTGAACTTTTCCTTAAAATAAACTCAGGGTCACTAGAACATTAAAAGCATTTGGTAAATATATGTACACTTTGGGGGAAAGAAAAAATTCCATTTGTTCTAATCAATGAACTCCTCTAGGCTCCAGCCGTCCAACATCTCTACCACCTCCATCAAACCAACTTTTGGGAAAGAATCTGTTAAGCTCATTCAACGGAGGGGTTCGTGGTATTAAGGTTAATGTAAGTTACTTTACTGCTTGGAGATGCTGCAGGAGAGAATCTGAAGGAACTTGGGGAAATAGGGGCTGAGCGGACGAGTTTGGGGGGTAGGTATTAGTGCCACTTCACAAAGTCCCAGCCTCTAGGCCACAGCCCGCAGGCCTGGGGACATGCAGGGTCAGAGCTGTATCTTGGGGATCCGAAGGAGAGCCTTCCCTGGCTGGGACCGTGCGGCCCAGAAAGGAACTTCTTATTCTCTCCCTGCCCGAGGATACAAGTACTCTGCCAGCGTCCGCCACCCACCCACCCACCTGGTCAGCTCCCCGGGGATCGCACGGCCACGCGACCCTCAATAGAACCTGGACTGCGACTGAGGGGGCCATAAGCCCCTAGCCTTGATCTACCCGCCTGGGGCCGCGGGAGATCCGCGGAGACCGGATTTCCGGACGAAAACAACTTGGGATGGCGATGGACCCGGACTGGCTCGCCTGGTCGTCGCCTTCCTCCCGGCCCCGCACCCCCGACACCACCCGAGTCCGGTCCCCGGTCCCGCTTCTTCGTCGCCCGCCTCGGGGCTCCCGACCCCCAGATCCCTCACTTCCCCGACCCCAGCTCCCATGGACCGCTCTCACCTCTCCCGGCTCCGGCGCCGCCGCGCGTTGCTAGGACAACGGCTGCTCGCGGAACGCGGAAACAGCCGAAGTGAGTGACTAGGAGGCCGAGGCCGCCCGAAACGCCACGAGAGGCCGGAAAGAACCGAAAATGATCGGGAACGTTCGTGCGGAGGGTTAGATTGCCAAGCGGGTTCCCGCGGGCGGCGAGCTCCACGGTCTTACCGGGCAGTTTCCCCCCCATCCCAGCCACGGTCGGGAATCAACAGCGCTGGCTCGGAAAGTGGGGCCAAGAGGCCAGGGTATGCCATCCTGCGCAGAGAAGGGAGCTGGCGAAATTCTTCTAGGGGTGATGACGATGCAAAACCTGTTGGGATTCGCTCCTGTAGTTACACCTTTTCAACCGCTTAGGTCTGTCAGAAGGTGGAGGAAGGCAACTGAGACTGTGGGGGAGAAACGGAACGCCATCTTCTTTAAGAGCGCTCTCTTGTTAATCTTATTGCTGGGTCTTCTGGACCCCAGACTGTTTCTAGGTTCTGCTTTGTCTGATCTTAAGAGGTGGTTCAAGAATATTCCTGAGAAAAGCCAATTGACTCGACATACTTCCTTGAAGTTATTAATTTATCACGTGCATTCAGTGCTTTGGGGGACTATGGTTTGAAAAACAAAGCAATGTCATGTCATTAAAAAAATAGTTATTAGGGCAAAAAGATCCATTGTTAAACAAATGAAAAAAAAGTGTAGATACCACTGGATGAGATGGGATAGGCGTCTCCAAGGAAGACTCCGAAGTTTTTATTTCTTAAAAACCCACTTTCATACTCAGTATATTTTTCTTGTGTGTCTACTTAGGTGCCTTATGAACATTTTGGCCATTTTTTATTTTTCCCTTTTTATTGAATATATTGGGGTGACACTGGTTAACAAAACTATACAGGTTTCGGGTGCACAATTCTACAACACATCTGTGCACTGTATTGTGTGTTCACCACCCCAAGTGTCCCTTCACCACAATTTATCCCCTCTATGTCTCCCTCCATCTCCGCCACCACCTCAGAATTTTTAAGGAATAAATTTGTGTAAATTTAAGGTATATAGCGATGTTGTTTCGATGCACTTAGATATTGTAATGATTGCCCACATAGCTTATTTATCACAGTAATTGTAGTACAATATTATATTTATTATACTGTGCATTTGATCTCTATCGCTTATTTACTACTCCCTACAAGTTTATCCTTCAACATCATTACTCTTATCCCACCTATAAACACTAGAATTTTAAAAACACTCCTTTATTTCCCTAATGAAGAAAAAGGGCCTAAGTGCCCAGCACTAAGTGCTTGCCAAAAAAAGTTAAAAAACCACACACCCAACCCAATAAAGGGTGTATTTATCCGCCTCGGTTGCACTTCCACACTTCTTTCGCGCGGGATTCAATACTCGGAGCTGAGGCGGCGTTTTCTTCTCACGCATCCGTCATACGGCCTTAACCAATCACAGCCAGGCATTGATTCTATTGGCTGTCGCCCGACCAATCCGAAGAGACGCACCAGCCTGCAAAGCCGCAAGGCGGTGTCACAACATTACCCGCGTCGCAGACAACACCCTCTCGCCCCCGCCCCGCGTCGTGCGTGCAAGCAACCGCGCCCACAGATGGCCAATGGGAGCGCCCTTAGGGGGGCGCGCTCGCTGAAAACTCCGGACGTG